GAGGAGTACAGCTAGTTCGGATTAGGAAGCCTAATCCGAACTAGCTACTCCGTGCCGCGTGTAGCCGCGCGGCACGGGGGTCGAACTGCCGGCATTTAAAAATGGCGTCGGCCGGCTTCATGCAAAAGAAGCCCAGGAAATTCAAATCCCGGGCTTCATTTGCAAGTGCGGTATGCCTACATTACCCTCCTAGTTCGAATTAGGAGGATAGTGTAGACATACCCAAATGTATTGAAGCATAAGCTTTCATGGGCAAAGACCCACTTCATCAGATGCATGTTGCCACAGGACTCCTTGTTGCTTTTGCAGATCCAGACTAACACAGCTACCCCTCTGATGCTTTAAGAAGTAAAGTGCTCATGGAAAAGAGTTAGAGGAAATAATGTCATTCCCCTGAGACTGAAAAAAAACATTGTTACACCTATGAACACTGAAAAGTAGCCTATTATTAATTATTAGTGTCTAGTGATTCCATATGTGCCACATGTATCTAAAAATCCTTGCATCTACAGTGTCAGTTAGAGCAACGCATGGCATTCCTAGATCTCTGGCTGCTTGGAGCTAGGCTGCATGAAAGGGGATGGCCCAATCCACAAATTACTCTGTTCTGTTCATTCCCTCTGAAGCAACAGGCATTGGCCACTGTTGGAAGACAATACTGGGCTACATGGACTGTAGGTCTGGAGCACTATGGTCATTCTAATTTTCTTATGGTCTGTGCAGTATTGACTTGCATAGAAGACCCCTTTGTATGCATGTGTGAAAGTATAGTCTGTTTCCTGTGCAACACAGGGTATAATAATTGCAACTGTGGAGAAGAATCAAGCCTTATATAAACTGTGCCATAAACAAACCTGGTGAAAAAGGACACCAAAGACCACACGGCCATTTTATGTTGTCCCATCTAACAATGACATGTTCTGGCCATGAGCTGTGTACACACTATTTGAGCACTGCTAGATGAAGTGGTTAGAAAGGGTGAGTGGAAGTGCTACGCCTGCCCCTGGGAGAGGCCATTCTCCTTTCTAAATACAGCTATCCTTCCCTGAAAGAGTTACTTCTATCCATGAGCCATAAAAATCAGGCTGAGGAGCATCTTTCCCCTTGTATTGTTTTTGAATGCACCAGGTTGTACCACCTGCCTCGTTGCTGGGGGAGAGGCAGGGAACTTACCTTTCCGTTCTCCACTGAATTCTCCTGACATCCAGCAATACATGAATTACTCTGGCTAGGAACAACATTTAGCCCAGACTTGATTTTTAAACAGATGTTCTCAGACCAAAACAGCAGGCACTCATTAAATTTCAACAGTGCAATCATGTGACAAGCCTCCCTCCCCCTCCCGGTAGCCATATGCAACATTTCCAACCTGTCTCTTTGTCTTCAAAGAACTGACTCTTATTCCACAAGCTTCCTGTCCCAGCATGCACTGGAACTTCACATAATATCTGGGTCAATCTTTTGAGGAACTGTGTCTGCTTCATTCTTCCTAATCTGAGTATGAATCATGGGGGGAAGGGGAGAGAGAGTCTTCCCTAGATGTTTTGCTCAGTATAGAGAGCTAATAAATGTGCCCTACTGTACATCCATATAAGGAAATGGGTCACAAAATCTATGTTTTTATAGAGATCCACAGTACAACTCAGCTATGTCTACACTGCAGGCTTCTTGCATAAGAACTGTTTTGCACAAGGGTTCTTGTGCAAACGTTCTTGCGCATGTGAATGTCCACACTGCCATGTGCTTTTGCGCAAGAGCCTGCAGTGTAGATGTAGCCCTCTGGTCTTAATGCCACAATAAAAGTGTATGCTATAAGCAACAGCTTCTTCAGCTACTTGTATGCAAAAGTTGGTTGCTACTTACTTCAGTTACTCTATAACCAAAGGCCTACCACAGGCAATACATATGTTTAGCATCCCATTTTGAGTGAATGTTATGTAAAACCACAGGGCAAAGGCTACACATGCTCTCTCTGTGTGTAAATTATTATCTCATGTGACTTGTTCTCTCTCTTTTCCATATGCCTACCTCTTGCTTTTACATCACAGAAACACATGATTCC